GCAGCTTCTGATATACTGTACCATAATTCTCAACATACAACTACAATCAGGACCAGAATTTCCATTGCTACACAAGGAGTATATTAAATGAATCATGCCAAATTTTTCGACTTTTTTGCCAGTTGTTAAATAGACCCTGCAGTTGTTAAGTGAATCATGATGTTGTTATGCGAATCCAGCTACTCCTGTTGACTTATCAGAAGCCAATTGGAAAGGTCTCAAATGGCGATCATGTGACCCTGAGATGTTGCAACTGTCATAAATGCATACTGTTTGCTGTGGGGAAGCTGTGATTGTTGTAAGTGGAGGAACCAATTGTCAGTCACTTTTTCCAGTGCTGCTGTAACTTCATAATGTCATGAAATGAATGGCTGTAAATTGAGGATGTCCTGTATTCTATACTCACATTAAATAACTCGTTATTTAGAAATTCTTGGTCTGTAATCTTGTCTTTTGGTGGGGGGGGGGCGGAAATTAGAGGATTAGGGAATTAGGAATTAAGAGCCATGGTAGTGCAGTGGTTCGAATGCAGTTTTGCAGGCTAATTCTGCTGACTGCTGGCTGCCAGCAGTTTGGCAGTTCAAGTCTCACCAGGATCAAGGTTGACTCAGCTTTCCATCCTTCTGAGGTTGATAAAACGAGGACCCAGATTGTTGGGGGCAATATGCTGACTCTAAAAACTGCTTAGAGAGGGCTGTAAAGCACTATGAAACAGTATATAAGTGCTATTGCTATTATAGAGTTGATGTGTTGTTATTTCTTTACTCCTGATGCCATATCATCAGGAACAAAGGATGAGCAAAACAGGGACTCTTTTATCACCTGTGCAGATCTGGATTATAACAACTGGTGTGAAGGTATGTCTTGTCTTCCAAAAGATACAAGAAGGACCTTCATAATGATTTCTCCTATGTGGCAAAGCAGAGCATTAGGAACCGTGAAGATTTGTTCCATCCACTCCTCCATCCAAAGTTGCACCTTGACCAGCTATTTTATCCTTAATCAGAATATATCTCAATAAAGTAGAAGAGACTTAGATCAACTAGCTATTAACTGTATGCCATTTGTGACAGGGATGGAGTAATCCAAACATGTTGTGTGCCCCTATTTGTGGCCTCTTGCGTATTGCACTGAAAAACTGACTAGGTTTTTTTAGACTATGTTGGAATGGATCATTCAAATCAGTGTTTCTCAACTGTGGCAACTTTAAGATGTATTCTGGCAATTGAAGTCCGCACATCTTAATGTCGCCACGGTTGAGAAATGCTGGTTTAGACCATTAGAATCTAAATTTCAGCAGGTTCTGACCAGTTCTGGAGAACCGATAGCAGAAATTTTTAGTAGTTCGGAGAACCAGCAAATACCATCTCTGACTAGCTCTGCCCCCAATTATTCTCTGCCTCCCGAGTCCCAGCTGATTGTCTGGGTCTTCTTTTGTTGCCCTACACAGGAGAACGGAGCTGGAAAACAGGTTAGTGGAGTGGGGAGGGAATGGGATTTTGCAGTATCCTTCCCCCAGGAGTGGGGTGGGAATGGAGATTTTTCATTATCCTTCCCCTGCCATGCCCAGAAAGCCACACCCAGGAAGCCACACCCCACCCTGTCCACCGAGCCATGCCCACAGAACCAGTAGTAAAAAAAAATTGAATCCCACCACTGGTCTAAATGATTCATTCAATCAGTCTAAATTCTCTTGTTGATAGAATCTATTTCTCAGTGGAAAAATCCAAATTAAAACCTATCTAACTGAAGGCTATCCATACCGTTTTTGAATGCATCCAGAGAAGGAAACCACCACCTCATTGATTAATTAATTCAAATTGTCAAATTGTTTGTTGGCTTAGTAAGATATCTTTTAACATCTAACCAGATCCTTCCAGTAACTGCCTCCTGAATGTACTGTAAAAGAACATCTCACAATGACACCAAAAATAGCTTTCCTGGATGCATCAATAAATCTACTGAGGTTTATATAAGGCTTTAGGAAAATGTGGAGAAAGTACTGGAAAGCAAAGGATCGAGAACAGAGAATAAATATATTATCACCGACAAATAGTAAAAAAACCTAGACTCCTCTCATTTATCTTCCTCCCATTTTTCCTCTTTGAGTTTTATTGATATCTTTTTCTTTGCTCATAGAGGAACACATATTCTGTAAATGTTGGCAAATATTTGATACTTAGCATCAACATAGGAGATATTAAACCCTTACTCATAGGCAGCAAAACAATTGTCCCAGGCATGGTAGAAGCTGCAAGAGTGGAAAACCTAGCTACATTTTAATTTATTTATCAGATTTTTATCCTGCCTTTATTACTTTATAAGTGATTTAAAGTGGGGAACATTCAATATACTCCTTCCTCCTCTTTTACCTCACAACAACAACCCTATAGGTTGAGCTGAGAAAGACTGGCTGGCTCAAGGTCACCCAGCTGGGACTAGAATTCACAGGCTTCTTGTTTCTAGGCCAGCACCTTAACCACTAGACCAACGTAGTTCCAGTGAAGTTCTCATTGAAAAAACACCCAATTTGCTGACTTGGGAGGGTCAAGTTTGAAGACCTTGGGAAGTGCAGGCAACTGTCTACATGATTCTCTTCTTCTGTTCGTTTCATTCTGTACTGATGCAATCTTTTCCCAATTGCTTTTGGTATTGATCTCAATAGCTTAATAAGCCAGAGTGCATGAGAAAACTAAGATCCTACTTCAATTAATTTAAAGGCTTGACTGGCATGTCAAGTACCCAAACTGTATGTCTGTGGAGATTCTCAGTCATTCAGGTCATGGTTGTCCCAAGGTGTTTTTTCATGAGGCAACTGGACTTTCTCCAGAAAGTCCAGTTATCTCTTGAAAAAGCACCTTTGGGATACCCAAACTATACTTTGGAGCAGGGATCTCCAACCTTGGCAACTTTAACCCTGGAGGACTTCAACTCCCAGAATTCCAGAGGGCCTCTTTGGGGGCATTGCACACTTAATAGGCACTGTACTCTGACTATCTCTCTCCCACAATTCTGTAATATTTTCCCCACTAATCAAGGACTGTGTACAACATGCTCATTCAATTTAGCTCATTTGAGGGATCCAATGACATACGAGAGCTTAATGTAATGATTAAGGCACTGAGCTAGAAACCAGGAGACTGTGAGTTCCAATCTAGCCTTAGGCACAAAGCTTGCTGGGTGAACTTGGGCCACTCATGTTCTCTCCGACTAACTCACTTCACATGTTTGTTGTTATAGGAAAAATAGGAGGAGAAAAGAGCATTAGGTATGTTGGCTGCCATGAGTTACTTATAAAGTAATAAAGATGGGATAAAACTCTAATCAACTATACAAGTAAATCTATATTGAACCATGCAGTGATTACATGGGCTAAGGAGGAGAGAAGCAAAGACATTTCATATCAGGACTCTTAAATTGTATTATGAAAAGTATACACATTATTTACCTAATATAAAGCACACTCACCATTTAGTTATATTAGCATGCTTTCAGAAAGATACCTATTGACACTATAGTTGTTCATTCTTCCTTTTTTATTAAACTGGTTTTTTGTTTGATTAAAACAATGAAATAAATAGTAGAAGTCACAGGAGTCTTGCAAGTGAATTACAATAGCAGGACCTTGGTTAAATTCTGCCACAGAGATTGGGCAGTTGTGCTGTACATGAAAAGCTCCATACAGAATTGGGCAACATGTGCCTTTCCAGATGTTATTGGCCATCAATCTCTAAGCAACATACTAATGGTAAAAGAAGACGGGAGATACAGTGCAACAGTGGAAGATTCCTACATTGCCACACCCCAAGAAGCATCCCCAGTGTGAATTTTCCATTTTACTATAGACAAATATAGTTCAGAACCAGATGAAGAGATATTGACATAGCATTTTCCAATTGCATTTCCTCAGTAGAAGTAGCCACAAAACTTATTAGCAAAATATAGTGTACTGTATTTAATTATACATGCACCTGAATAAATTTGTGATTTCTGAAAGGATTTGTGTGAAATCATAATTATTGCCCTTTGTTTACATGCTACAGGTTTTTTTAATCTGTCTTTTATATTTGAACTAGTAGCAATCAGTCTCAAAATGTGACATTGCAACAGATCAGCCTATCATGAGAAAGGTTTCTATTTTTTTTGCCACAGAATGTTTACCAGGGTTGACTAACATAACATCTTGATACCTGAGAGAAACAATCCAAAAGGATCTTCCTTCTTTATAACTGGTAACATTAAACTGAGATTTAACTGGACTTGCTAATATTTAATAATGTGCCAATACTGGCTAAGGTGACTTTGTTCCTTGAAAAGATTTCCAGACCCTCTCTCGAGTATAAATCCCTCTTGTATTCACTAGTTTAACTCCACACTGCTATTGCTCAAAGTCTGTCCTTGGGTTTAATGGCAATGACAGTGATATGATCACAGAATTGTTAGGCCGTAGGACAACAGAGTAGGTATGGTATGAATTGCATTCGGCATCACCTACAGCAAACCACAAAAATGCCCAAATGATAAAACACACACAGTAACATCCTTATGCAAATGTTATCCTTATGTACTCATGTTTAAACATGTGGTGCAAGTCACATTTGCATGATGATATCATCACACATTTTATCATTTGACTTCTTCTGTTCTCCCTGAAGATACCCATGGCCACATCTATGCCATTGCCCACTATCTCCTTTTTTCTGGAGAATGGATGTTCTATTGGGTTGTAGCTTATTGATGATAACAAGGAAAATCAAGAGTTACCAGCAATGCTTATAAAATCAGAAAAGTACTTTTATTTACAATTCAATCATACATTAATACAGCATTTGAGTTATTTTACTCTCTAGTCAAACAAAAGAAAATCCACAGATGTCAACATAAACATTCAGTTTCACAGAACACTGCATTGCTAAAACAAATTTAAATAATTCTGTACAAGCTATAAAGTACCAAAACATGAACCCGGTGGGTGGAAGACTCACAATATTTTTTTAAAAAAATTAGGTTATAACCTTGGAATAGAACTTAAAATGCAATTGTTTCTGGAGTGTACAAATCATTCCTTTCATAATATAGCTAACAATATCGAAATAGAGTTTTAGCTCTACAATGATGCTCATGCCCTACTTTAATTGTATATAAGACTGTACCTTCCATTTTATTCAGATATCTAGAACTAAGTAATGGGACATTTCTATACTATGAATATATGTCAGTGTTATTACCAGTTTAATTGTTGTTACTTCCTTTCCCTAGAGATTCCAGGAAACCATGGTCTTCTTTCAAGTTTCCTAATATTTCTCAAAAAAATTAACTTTCACTATTATGTAGAACCTTAAAACTGTATACTGTATGTACTCTATCCTCCACACTATTTGTGGCATTGCAAACATGAGGGTGTGAGCATCTATTTATACCGAAACAACCCATCAAAGCTAAACACTTTTTACATTTAACCAATTTCAACAGAATACAATGCATTTTTTAAATCCCCTTTTGTTGAGATCAGCAGGTCTTTGAAATGCTTTAGTTCCACCAGGATTAAGCCCATTCTGAAAAGAAAACCTTCAGAATATCATGTAATTATTCACAAGTAGCAGTGAACAATTTTGTATTTGCTACTTGCAGGTTAAAAGTACTATATACAAAATACATATATTATTGTAGATTTATCCAATTGTATCCCACCTCGGCATAACACATATGTTCAGAATATGATACATTATTTACAAGAAATATATAATATATCTTACAGCATATTTACATACATTTCTACTGTCCAATCCTTCAAAAACAGTTTGGAAATGACCAGTCTTCTAGAACAAAGGGCAAAAATCACTGCTTGGTTGAGAACTGCCTGGAGTAACAAAGTCCCTACACCAAAATACAGGAGCAATAAAGAAAACAAAACTAAATATCCACGCAGCATGTCACTTTGCACAGAAGCAAAGAGGTTTAACTGTTGAAATAAAAGGATGGCAGGAGCTCACAGGTGCAGTAAACTGATCCAGAAATGGCACAAAAACATTGCAAAGTGGAGCTTTATGGACATTTTGCCAAACAAAGAAATATATTTTCCTAAAGCTAGCAAATAGACCTTTTTGTATTCACAAAGCTGTTCATGTGGGATCCTTGGTGCTCTGTGAGCTTGTTTTGTTGCAGACATTTCATTACCCAACTAGGTAACATAATCAGTGCTACACTGCAATGCTACTCCTCTTCTGTTGATAAACTGTTCATATTGCATGACTTGCATCCATTTATAAGGATCTCTGGATAGCCCACCCTATTGCATTTCACTTTATTCTCATAAGTAACTACTTCGTTGAGTAGGTAGATAAGCCTGAAAGTTAGTCTGGCACTACCAAAAAGAAAGGCAGGTTTCGTTTGGCTCGTATTGCACATGAAAGTTGATATTGTAAAATGAAAGCATAGTTTAGAAGAGGGGTCCCCAATTCCCAGTCCATGGAGCGGCACCAGACACAGCATGACAGAAACTGGGCCATGCAAACAAGGGAAGCCCCACCTGGGGGATGCAGGCAATACACAAAATCATGCCCACTCCGGTCCATGGAAAAACCTTTCTCCATGGAACCGATATCTGGTGCCCCAAAAGTTGGGGACCACTGATTTAGAGACATATCTATAGATTAGTCCAAGGTATCACTTTATGGCTGAATGGAGACACTGAGTGGAGACAGAGTCTTGACCCAAGAGACCAGTTTCCATCAAAAGGCCTAATTTTGGTTGGCCTCCTTTCCAAAGCACATCAGCTCAATTCCTCTTACACCGAGTTGTGATGAGAAAGATCAACCAAGATTCTGAGCAAGGTCCAGTCTCATCTAGTTGGTAAACTTTTAAAACTGTCTAATTACTTCCAGTTAATGGACTTATATGTTTGGTTTAAGTGAGTCTGCAAGACTGTAGGATCCATTTATTTTCATCTTTCTAAAAATGTAAATAAATATGGCAGCTGCAGGACCTGCTACTATGGATAAACAAGAAACTACGATGATTACAGGAGTCACGTACTCCAGCTCTTCAACTCTGGCTGAAAATGAAACAAACAGGGAAAAAAATGAGTATAGTATGACAACAATGGGCATTGACAATGCTATCAGAAAGTTTCACTGACAAATGTTTATCTATTTCTGGATTTAACATTACCTCCTCTTCCTTCTCTTCTGGGGCTGGCATTTTGGTCACAAATCATAAAAATTCTACTCCTCTTTATAGCAATGTTTATACCTTGTCACATTCATGGACAGAAGCAGAGGTGGTATTCAGCAGGTTCTGACCAGTTCTGGAGAACCGGTAGTAGAAATTTTGAGTAGTTTGGAGAACCAGCAAATACCACCTCTGACTGGAGATTTTACAGACTTTCCCCTGCCACGCCCACCAAACCATACCCACAGAACCGGTAGTAAAAAAAAATTGAATCCCACCACTGGACAGAAGGTCCTGATATAGAAGTATCAGGTCCTGATATAGAAGTATCAGAAGTACATTTTTGGGGGATGAAGAGGGGAATAATATCATTGCCAACAATCCCCTAAGACACCTTTCCAAATGTGTAGTTTTTAATACCTGGAATACTCTACAGTAGCCCTGCTATCTGGAGAATTCTGGGAATTAAAGTTCCAAAATCAGTTTGGGGAAAGATTCCATACAGATTAATATGGAAAATTAACCAACTTTAGTTAGGAAAAGAGTGAAATATGGGCTAAAGGCAATGTAAGGGAATAGTTAAAAGGCTAAGGTATCTGACCAGAGGTGGTATTCAGCACGTTCTGACCAGTTCTGAAGAACCGATAGCGGAAATTTTGAGTAGGTCGGAGAACTGGCAAATAGCACCTATGACTGGCCCCGCCCACATCTGTTCTCTGTCTCCCTAGTCCCAGCTGATTGGCTGGGTCTTCTTTTGTTACCCTGCACAGAAGAACAGAGCTGGCAAGCAGGTTAGTGGGCTGGGGAGGAAATGGGGATTTTGCACTATCCTTCCCCTGAGGTGGGAGGGAATGGAGATTTTACAGTATCCTCCCCCTGCCATGCCAACCAAGCCACACCCACCAAGCCATGCCCACAGAACCGGTAGTAAAAAAATTTTTAATCCCACCATTGTATTTGATCCATGGAAAACACTGCATTTCTGATCACGTTTCTTCGTTGCTATTTTCCTCTTGTATATAATTTCTTTATACAGGTAGACTTCGACTTACAACTATTCTCTTAGTGACCATTCAAAGTTGAAAAAAAGAGACGTACAACTATTTTTCACACTGAAGACCCTTGAAGCAACCCCCACAGTCACGTGATCAAAATTTGGACACTTGGTAACTGGCATGCATTTGTGACAGTTGCAGTGTTCTGGGGTCATGTGATTCCCACTTTACAACCTTCTGACAAGCAAAGTCAGTGGGGAGACGAGATTCACTTAACAACTGGGCAATTGCAGGGATTCACTTAACAACTGTGGCAAAGAAAGTTCATAAAATGGGGTAAAATTCACTTAAGTGCTTTGCTCATGAACAGAAATTTGGGGCCCCATTGCAATTGTCAGTCAAGGACTACCTGTACAAAGGCTAGTTTGCTGTCTAAGCAATGTCTTTTAGTATTGCAAGAATCCTAGCCAGGGAAAAGAAGAGCTGATCTCAGTTACCCTTTGGGGACTGCTACCCAATAAGCATGGAGTGTTAAGGCAATGCAATCTGCTAGCAGTATTAGTGCAGTATGGTTATCTGGTTCAATGATTGAAAAATATGTACCAATTATTATGATCTCTTCTGTATTATTTCTGTCATCAGTAGAAGCATCCACCAGGTGCACAGCTGTATTGTTTTTCAGTGCTGCATGTGATGTCATGGAGGTAATTATTTTGGGTGCTGTATCTGATGAAGACATTGTAATCAACTCCGATGTTGCTATATCTGATGCTGTAGACAAAAAAGTTTTCAGTGTTGCACGAGATATAACCGATATTGTAGTTTCTGATGCTGCATCTGATGTAAAAGACACTGTTGTTTCGGATGGGGTGGTTAATACTGTTGTTTCAGATGGGGTGGTTAATACTGTTGTTTCAGATGGGGTGGTTAATGCTGTTGTTTCAATTAATACTGTTGTTTCAGATGGAGTACTTAATACTGTTGTTTCAGGTGGGGTGGTTAATGCTGTTGTTTCAGATGGGGTGGTTAATACTGTTGTTTCGGATGGGGTGGTTAATGTTGAAGCGGCTGTTGAAAAGACTGAAGCTAAAGAAAGAAATGAAAATATGCACTTCTGTTAATAATTGTTTAAAGAAGGCAATCTGCTTTTGACAAATATAAAATCAAACTATGTGATGATAGTTTATATATGTTAATGTTGAATATTTTCAACATGAATGCTCAAGCACCTGAGATTTAAAAAACCCTTATATATTGGTTTTTGTGCTTATTTGAATGTAAAATATTTGACATCCAGGCTTTAGCTAGAGAATATTTAACGTTAACATTCAAATAACTTCAGTGAAAGAAGATAGACTTCTTATCTCTGCCTTAATCTTTCCTCTTCATAATCGGATTCTAAACAGGAAAGCTTTATAAGTGAAGCTAGGAAGTTTAGAAATGGACTTAATGATCACGCACTCTCCTATTATATAGTATATTATTAAAAGGTTCTCAAAATGACCCACAACAAATATTGGAAAACTTATTAGTGCATTAAATCTAGGGATTCCAAACTCTTGATTTGCAAATGATTTTTTAAAACCTATAATAAATATTCTGTGAATATGAATAGGCTGACCAATGAATACCCTACTTTTGCAATATTAAATAAGTTGCTATTATCTGATCCTTCATGATTAAAATGAGACTGGCTATAAACAAGACTGGTGATTATTGCAGATGAAAAGGTGAAACCCTTGCTTTGCAAGGCCAGTAGTTGTGGGGATTCAGATCTGTGAGTGCATTCAAGAATATGGCCTTTTACAGTCCCATCAGTTTTATACCTTGTACAGAAATATATAGCGATGTTCTCTCCACTACACTTGTAATTTCATTGGTGACTTCACAGGTATAGGTTCCAGAGTCAGAGGGCTGAGGATTTGGGATAGAGAGGTTGTACTTTTCTGCAATATTCTGGGCCAGTCCATCAGGAAGCTGCTTCTTCCAGACAAAACTAGCCCGAGGATGACTTTCAGTCAAGCAGGTAAGTATCAGTGCTTCTCCTTCTAGTACAGTGTTGCCTGGAAATGCCACGATTTTAGTATTCCGTGGGCCATCTTAAAGAAAGCAAAGGATAGCCATGTTAAATTAGTAAACTGTAAGTTGAAGGTCATAATGAGTGCCCCAAATGGGGAAGGATTTGAGAATCATCATGGTGAATATCAAAAAATGTTTAATCATGGATGGATTTTTTTCCTCTATTAAAAATGTTTAAAGTACAAATATTAATCAGATGGCGAAGGTACTTTAAATGAAAATGAAAGCATAAACCAGAACTGCTCATTTGACTTGTCTTGCCACAATTGTCTTAAGATTCCTTCTTAAAATCCTCCTAAAACTAGCCGAGCCTATTGCAAGGGGAGGCAATCTTAACATGAATACAACCTATGTTTGAATCTTCATTCCATCAACATACTTACAGTTTATTTCCATCACATGCGTAGCCTGCCTGGGCGCCAGAACCATGTCCTCTAAAGACAGCTCAGCTACACATATAATCTCTTTCCCAAAATCTTCCTCGGTAGGAATGAAATCCACCTTCAGGTTCTTGGTCTGCAATGATTTTGTATGAGGGTCTTGAAAAAACTCTTTTTCAGCAGTTAGTTTTCCTTTGATCAAAGTGATCATCAACTGCTCAGAAGGATAGACCTCAGGGACACGACAGGTGACAGAAGCAGGTTGCCCAAGAATGAGAGGGCTTTTGAGCTCAATAACCGGATCACTGGGGAATGCTAAAAGGAGAAATGAAGAAACCATATCAGGAGAAGTTTGCTTTAAGCAGCTAAAACTGTCAACTCTCTGTTCACAACTACTTAGTCCTCATGTTTTGGATACAAACTGCTTCCCAGATGATGGCATTTGAACCAATATCATGGCATTGCTGTTGTTTGGTGTGTAAACTCTGAATGAACCAGCATTTTATACCAGGGGTCTCCAACCTTGGGCACTTTAAGGCTTGTGGGCTTCAACTCCCAGAATTCCCCAGCCAGCGCATGCAGGTTGGAGACCCCTGTTCTATACAACCTCTCAACATATGAAAACCTCCAAAAGACCCATAAACAGGGAGGAGGAAAGGGGAGCCTGCCTCCAGTTCCATGATGCTGCCACCCCCATTTCAGTAAAATTATTTTAATTTAAGTGCATTGGCAAAATGAGCTAATCTGTTAGAAGGCGGTATTGCAGGCTATTTCTGCTGACTGTCAGCAGTTGTATCCTGACTGGCTCAAGGTTGATTCTACCTTCCGTCCTTCTGAGGTTGGTAAAATGAGGACCCAGATTGTTGGGGGCAATGTGCTGACTCTGTAAAACTGCTTAGAAAGGGCTGTAAAGCACAGTGAAGTGATATATAAGTCTAAGGGCTATTGCTAATATGTTAAGGGTAAATACACTGCATTGTTTTCCAGTTTAAGAGCATTCAGATTTTATAGATGTTTATAGAAAGGCATACACCCAAGCCTTTGTCATGCAGATTCCAATTAACCTGTCTTCTTTTTTGGGGTGTGTCCTCCACAACATTTTTCATTGTCTATGGACCTGACCTGCAGGATTCTTAGGAAGTAATGACCTGAAAAACAGCTTCAAAATTTCAATGACAGCAGGCCCGAATACAATGGGCACAAACACTCCCAAATTCTGCAATTGTTTCCATCTGTCCCATAAGTTGTTATACAGTTGATCTGCTGAAGGTTCATCTGAGCAGCATCATCTGATGGAATACAATTGATCTATCCCAGCAATGCTTTCTGGAACGGTGAACGTGCGCGTGCGTGCACATGCACACACATACCAAGATATGGATTGCCACTGCCTTAACTTTCCTCACTTTTCATAAGTTTTTAAAAACATACTTTCTTTGTGTCATCTGGACCAGTGTTGTAATGGTTGAAATTATTATCATGGCTGGCTTTGGTTATATCTCATCTTTATGGATTCATACCGACAGTGCACTTCAGTTCTGTTCAATATTATTTTATTTATTATTTATTTGTATCCCACCTTTATTAATTTTGTACATAACTCAAGGCAGAGAACATATCAAACACATCTTCCTCCTCCTATTTTCCCTACAACAATAACCCTACGAGGTGAATTGCACTGAGAGAGAGAATAACTAGCCCAAGGTCACCCAGCTGGCCTTCATACCTAAGAAAAGGACTAGAACTCACCGTCTCCTGGTGATTGGGCCACCCTGCTGGTTTTGATGGCTAAGACAGGATTAAAACTCATCGTCTCTCACTTTATAGCTTGGTGCCTTAACCATTAGACCAATCTGGCTCTTCTATTACTCTTTATATATATATATGATGTAACACTTTCTCCATTCAATATCTAAGTCCCTTCTAATACAATCTTTAAGAAAAAGATCAAACGATCTGCGAGGACCATTCCTACCTGCAGATCAATTAGACACTTAAATTCCATATACGTGGAAACTACAGGTATGCCATGAGAATTAGATACACTGCATCTTACTATAGTTTAGTTACTTACAGTAAATGTCAACCATGACTGCTTTTTCTTTGGACGGTTCACCCTGCTTGCAAACAGCAGTGCAGAGATATTGGTGCTCATGTTGAAATCCAACAGACTGTATAGTTAAAACTGAACTCTTTCCTTGATGGCTCAGTTTCCCACCTAATGGATAGTCTAATTGGGTTCTCCAGGAAAAGTACGGGGATTCACAATCGGTTGTGCGGCAGCTTAGGGCAAGCTTGTGTCCAATTTGTGCAACAACTCTGTGATCTGGCACAATGTCCTCTATTCCAAAGGCTTTCGCTGAAACAAGAGAGAAGGAAGAACATTCAGGATATATGGATGCAGTGTTACAGATAAATATTTATCTTCCCACTGTTTAGAATCAAGTATTTATCCAAATGAGCCCAACTCAATGTTCAAAAACCTGCTTCTAGACAAAAGCAGAGTGGAACTGTATCTAAGCAGGAGTGAAGACAAAAAGCATTGCTTGACATGGGAATGGTGAAGATGTATGCAGACAATATAGCTAGTATAATAATTGCTTTAGTATAAACTCAGCCACCAGAGCTGGTCTGAAGCTGGGTCACACCTAAATGGAATGGAATAAATATTTTTTATTCCACTATAATGTTTATTCTTCTCTCAAAAATATCTTACAATAGTAGTAAGATTTCTATTTCCATAACAGCGCTGTGTTATGTTTTAAAGTGAACATGTGAATTTACTCATGTTTTTAAGTGAATGTTAAAGTTACAAACTGTAACTTTGAACCGTAAAGTGAATGTACAGTTATAAACCAGCATTAAGGCAACAAATAGCATCTATTTGAATGTAGAATCGGTAAAGTCATCCAGACTCTGACGCAGCATACAGGAAAAAAGTGACTAGGAATTGTTGTCCGGATGTGTAGTCATGGTGATACTAATCTCACATTCTGGGCCCAGGCTGAAAAATTAATAACATGTCCAAGACTGCAATCTTATAACCACTGATCTTAAAGATCTATTGAATTCAGTGGAACCACTTCTAATATGTCCACACAATCAAGCTATTGTGCCATTGATTCTGATGAGTTAAAGTTATGATTGGTGTCTAAATGAAATAGATGAAGATGGAATTCCAATGCATGCATATTGTTATATGGAAATAGTCCTGCCTTACAGCCTAAAGTTCAAGGTCTCAGCACAATTACCGATCACTGAACTGACTGATTACCAATCACTGAACTGACAATCTAAATATTGCTCAAATTTGAGTCCTAAAGAGTAAGAGTTTAGTTCGAAAGGCACATGCTTATGTATATCATTAGAGTTAATATGTAATAATATATAATTAAGCTTCCACTTAATGTATTAGAAGAATGCGTCACCCATAAATTAAGGTTTTCGAATGACAATCCCATCAATGCACTTTTACTCAGGAAGAAATCTTCTGAGTACACTGGTTGCTATATTGAAGTTAACGGTTCACAAGGCTGCAGTATTATTTCTGAATCCATGTGGATTCCTGTCCGCTAACAGCACAAGGTTTATTATGCCTGCTTACTTGCAAGGGAATCCAGTAGCAGTCAGTGGGATTTGCTTGTAATAAGTCTACAAAAATTGCATTCTCGTTTTTTAAAAAATCTCTTCACAAGTAAAAGATTTATAAGGACATTTATAAAATCACTTAGAATAACTTTATTGTCACTTTGAATGTACACTGATTGGCATACATTAAAATTACCCACACTCTCTGTAATATCTATCTATCTATCTATCTATCTATCTATCTATCTATCTATCTAT